ACTAAGAAAGCAATGCAGTCTGTGGATAAAGAGTTTCACTTCTTCTTATTTACATGAAGCCCCTATTTCTTTCAGTGAATAGAACCAGTAAGCAGACCAGACATGGTTTGGTGAATAAAAGAACTGTCTTCAAATGGTCTTTCATATTTCAGACTGAAATTATCTTCCTTCCCAAGCCTGTTCCTTTATGATATTCCTTATCCCAGAAGACAACACCTCCATCCACCCAGCTGTGCAAACCAGAAGTCTAACTTTCCTACCTTTTACTCCCCCAGGTCTAATGAATCATTAAGTCCTATTGATTTTACTCCTAAAATAACTTCTGAGGCCCCTTCTCTCAATCTACTATATTAGATTTACATGGGGATAATCTCTTATCTGGACTACAGCAACAGTGATGATGTACTTTGCCCTCCCATAATCTATTTTCCAAGCTAAAGCCCAAGTGATCTTCCTAAAAGTGAATCTGATCTTACACTGCTATTCCCCTTTGCACTCATACAGAAACTCGCAGAATCTCCTGTTTTCTTCTGAATAGCTTGTAAGACTTGCTATAATTTGGCCTCAGGAAACTCCTGCCAGATGATATGACTTCGAGTTAGCTAAAAGGACCAGGCCTTTCTGTGTGGTATTATCCTCTCCTCTGGAAACCCACTTCACCTTCTACCACGTCAGCCTCCCCTGGAAACTGCCCCCCACCCCTACTCTACCACAACCACATACTTTTAGGATGCTTATTCATGCTGCTTTTATCATTTTCCAGATACTGGTCCCCGAACCAGGCCAGGGGAATCCCCTCAAGGGTCAACCTCCATCACCTTCATAGAACTTCCATGCTCTAATGCACTTGCTTGTTTATAGAACCTCTCACAAATTGCAAGTTCTGTGGGACCAGGGTTCTTGTTATTCTCATTCACTGCTTTATCTCTGGGCCTAGCCCAAATACCCAGAGCACAGAAGAGGTTCAGTAAATATGTCTTGGATGTAGGAGTTGCTCAGTCATTCTCAAACTGTAACAGCATCATAACCACCTAGAGAGTCTGTTAACACAGATCAGTGGGCACCACCACCAAAGCATTTTATTCTGTCTGCAGTAGGACCCAATACTTTGAATTCCTAAAAGGGCCCAGATGATGATGGTACTGATGGCTCAGGAGTCACATTTTGAGAACCACTGGAAGTAGACTAATGAAGAAATGGAGAAGATGAACAACTTTTCCATGTTCTTTCATTAAAACATTCTCTTTTTTTTTTTTTTGAGACGGAGCCTCAAGCTATCCCCCTGGGTAGAGTGCCGTGGCATCATGCTCACAGCAACCTCCAACTCCTGGGCTCAAGCGAG